GCACTGAATATTTCTGAGGAAGCTGTGCTTTGGGGGGTGGAGGAGGGGGAAGGGGCTGAGTGTTCCGATTTCACATCTTTATTCTGATTCGGGAGTCCTAGCCCTAATGTACCTCATCACCCAGTGTCCTCAGCCTGGCAACCTCAGGATCACCTACACCTTCATTTCCTGTTCCCTCTCCAGGTCCGGATCTGCTCAATGCCATCTCAGACATGGCTCTCAGATCCAGCCATTGGCTATCCATGTCAGAGCCAATACTTGGTCTAAGGCCTTGTCACCCGGGCTACTTGATAGATAACCATTTTTTAAGTTTTACTAAGTACCGCTAATAATAGCAAACACCCAGGCAGTGTTTTCTATGTGCCAAGAACTGTTCTAAGAGACTCTATTCTCATGGCAATGCTATGAAATAGGATTATTATCCACGTTTCATAGAGAAGGAAAATGGAGAACAGAGAGGTTAAGTAAGGCGGCCGATGTCACAGAGCAGGTAAGCGGCGGATCTGGGACTTGGATTCATATGGTCTGTCTCCAGAGTCTCTGATCTTACACCACTAAAACATACTGATTCTGTTTCAACTTCACCCATTATTTTTATTGTTGTTGCATTTTTTGGACTAGGGAATCCAGGTACCTGGTTCAAAATTTAAAAGCTACAAAGCTGCGTACTGAAAGGACTCTGCTGCCCTGGTTCCCCATCACCCACACCCTGGTTCAGGAGGTAGTCAGCATGACCAGTTTTTTCAGTAGCATCCCAAGCAAATATATATGTCATTTCCCTCTGTTTTCTCCCCTCATACAAATATCCTAGACTGGGTACGATTAGGCAGTATGCCTTTTTCATTGAACATATATTGAAGATCATTCCGCATCAATACATGAAGAGCTTCCTTATTCTTTTTCTTTCTCTCTCTCTCTCTTTTTTAAAGACTGCAGATGGTCTAGGGGTGGGCAAACTTTTCCTGTAAAGGGCCAGATAGTAAATATTTTAGGCTTTGTGGCCCATATGGTCTCTGTCACATATGCTGCTAGTGTTTTTTTTAAACCTTTAAAAATGTAAAAACATTCTCGTCTCACGGGTTGAATTAAAATAGTCTGCAGTCCAGATTTGGCCATGGATCATAGTTTGCTGATCCTTGAACTGAGAGGCTCTTCCCTTGCTGCCCTGTATCTAGTGTTCCCTCACTCGGGGCCCTTTTTGAGCATCCTGAAAGCACTATGCTCCTCTCTTCCAAATCTGACACTGACAGTGCTTCCTCTAAACCCTCTGTGGCTCCCCACTCCTGACAGGGTAAAGTCCAGACTGCTTGGTGGAGCCTCCAATGCCCTTCACGATCCACGTATTTTTCCATACCTTCAGGTCCACTGCACTGGTCCATGCCACCGTTAGCTCTCAGCCCCAACTCCTACAGTGACCCCTTTGCCCCACTATTGGTATACAGCCCTCCTGCCCCAAATTCACTCTCCACATGGCAGCGCAGCCCTAGGGATTTTTTAGAAGAGCAGATCATATCTGGGAACCTCCAGTGGCTTGTTGCTACCCTAGAAGGAAGTCAACTTCTTTATCATGGTCTTCAAGGTGAGCCAGCTCTGCTTGGCCCTCCTGTCCCACCTCATTGTCACCATCCTCCCTCCCTCTGCTCCCCACCCACCAGCCACACTGACTTTTCTGTTCCTCGAAGAAGCCTAACTCATTTCTGCCTCTGTGGGTGCTGTTTCCTTGGCTGCCACCTTGGAGTTCAGCCTCAGTTCAAATGCCACTTCCTTAGTGAGGCCTCCCCGCAGCTCCCAACCTACAAGGGCCCTCCACAAGTCCTCGCCACACCACCATGCTGAATTTCCTTCTTGGCCCTTGTGGTCATCTATATCTTGGTTTGTCTGCAAATTCTCTGCTTGGCTGGAACATGTGGGTGTCTCCAGGGCCCAGCCCAGTGCCTGACACATATTAGATGAACACTTAAAATTTTTCTGATTGAACAGTTGAAGAGTTTCAAGCCCATTTACCTTTCCTAGTGGATCTCTCTTCATTCCTCACCTTCTGCCTCAGTCTCCGGGTCCACTGGCCTTCTCACCCATCACTAAACATGAACTTCCCTCTTAAGGTTTTACACCTTTGCACTTGTCATCTCCTTCTCTGAGCAACGAACTCCTACTCACCCATCAACACCCAGTCAAATGTTACCTCTTCCTTGAAGCTTTTACACTTTCTCTTGTGTCAACTTCTTCCTCTGACAGGCTCCCAGAGCACTTTGCACAGAGCTCCGTAGTCACACTGGGCTATAATTATTTACTTACCACAAATGTTTGTTTATTTATTATATCCTGAATACCCCCAGACATTATATATACATATATATATATACACACATATGTATATGAATAAGTATTTTCTTATCTGTTTATGTGTGTTTGTCCATCTATAGCATCTCTATCTATATATATTACATTTTCATTTTACTCAAACAAGCTCCTTCAGGGAAGGAACACCTTGGCTGGGATTTATATGGTAAGTGTGGGCACAGAATAACATAAATAGCAGCATTTAGCTCTGTGCTAAGTGCTTTCCATACATTTTCTCATGTAACTCTCCTAATAACCGAAAAGAGGCCGGCACCATTATTATCTATAATTTGTCAATGGGGAGTATGAAGCGAGATTAGGTAACTCGCTCCGGGTGGATCCGCCATTCCCCACCAGGCTGTCCTGCAGCCAGCACGCACGACTCCTTGGAGGTCTCTTTGCCCTTGAGGTGGTCCACAAAACTGTCCTGTTTCCCTGTGTGAGACCTGGGGGGCCCAGCTCTGCTCAGAGAGGGGCCAGGTGGGGATCTCTCACTCCCCTGCAGCAAGGTCCTCCCTTGTGGGGCGCACAGATGTCCCTCTGCCAGCCAGAGGGAGAGGCACGATGAGGATCCTGCCCTCCGCACACCTGTGACCGTGCCATCCCCAAGGGCAGCCAGATGTCCTTGGGGCCCACCTCCTGTTGCCACATGCTGTTTAGCCATGTGGACATAAGCGGCTCTGCCAGCTTACACTTGAGCTAATGCGACGGGACCACTGGGCTCTGGGCAGAAGGGCAAGAGCCTAGAAGGCAGAGGAGACAGGGCAGAAGGAGCTCCCTTTCTTTATCATTTCCTTTCGTTATTTCTTTTCCAGCTTTACTGATGTGTAATGGACAAATACAAATCATATCTATTTAAGGTGTACAACATGGTCATTTGGTGTATGTGTGTGTGTGTGTGTGTGTGTGTGTGTGTGTGTATATGAAAAGCACAGCAAAGGAAACCCTTCCCAAAATGAAAGGCAATCTATGGAATGAGAGAAAACGTTTGCCAAGCCATATATCTGATAAGGGGTTAATATCCAAACTATATAAGGAACCCCTTATATAGTTTGGAACCCCTACAACGCAATAGTGAAATAAAAAAATAACCTGATTAAAAAATGAGCAAAAGACCCGAATAGGTATTTTTCCAAAGAAGATATGCAGGAACCCCTGCATATCCCCTACAACGCAAGGAACCCCTACAACGCAATAGTGAAATAAAAAAATAACCTGATTAAAAAATGAGCAAAAGACCCGAATAGGTATTTTTCCAAAGAAGATATGCAAATGACCAACAGGTACATGAAAAGGTGCTCAATATCTTTACCATTTCCTTTAAGTGAGGAGACTCTTCTTGCCTATTCTTTCAGGGAATAAGGGCAACGGGCAACAATTAGCATGTTTTTTTTTTCCCCTAAGAAGTGCAGGCTCTGTTGCAGAGTGTATCCTGGCATAAAGGAGAAGAGGGTGCTGGAATAGATTTGTTGTAGTCTGGCTTCTGTTTGTGGGCACCATGTAACTTTTCAGCTCATTGGGAAAACTCTTTCTAGAGAAGTAGGTCACAAACTTTACAGCAGTGCTATTCAAAGTGAGGTCCTTGGACTAGCAGTGGCAGAACCATCTGGGGGCTCGCTAGCTTTGCAGACTCTGGGACCCACTCCAGACCTGACATATCCAATTCTGAATTTTAACATGATCCCCCAGGAGCTTTGTAAGCACATTCGAGTTTGAGAAACATGGACCGAGGGTGCCTGATGAAAATGTGAGTTGGGGCCCTATGCCTTAGAAATCCTGATACACTTGGTGAGGAGGAGATCCAGAAATGTGGCGAGCATCGCCTACTTTTGGGTGGTTCTGTTTCCTTTTGTGAGCAGCTGTGGTCCAGAGGCAATGCTGTGTGCTGGAAATAGTCCAGGCACTGCATTTAGATGGACCGGGGATTGAATCTCAGCTCTGCTACCTACCAGCTAGGTAGTCCTGATTAAGCACTTCATCTTGTCACGCTTTAGCTTCCTCAACTCTGAAATGGAGAAAGGAAAGACCTACGCCTTCAGCTGTGAGATTTAAAGGCAATATATGTAAAGTGCCCAGTACCATGTCCGTGGCATAGAGCACGTGGAAAGTTGAGTATTACAACTATTAAATCAAACAGCTGTCTATTGGTTGTACCACTGGATGGCAGAACGGGCCAGAGTATTGATTAATTTCAATTGTGGAGACAGGGAAGGCCAAGGGGGGGTTAACCAGGGTGTGATGGCTGTAGTTTCTTGGTTACTTACCCTTAATCTTAAAGACACATAGAAAGGATTAGACTGTGACAGCCATCGAACTTTATCATTTACTAAGAATCACCGGGAAGCGAGTTTAAAATGTTGGTATCTGGAAGATGTTAACCCAAGATTCTGTTGCATCAGGTCTGGAGTATGGCCCAGGGATCTGTATTTTGATCTTGGGGAGATGAAATGGACGAGGCCGCCGATCTCACTCTGAGACTCAGAGAATGTGTGAATTCATTCAGTACACGAAGAGCTTGACACACGTGGGGGCCTTTGCTGGTACTGAGCAACAGACACGAAGAGAACCCACTCTCCCCGGTGTCTGCCCTGCCTGGGAGCGTGGGTCTCCGAGAAGGGAAGCTGTGTTAGGACATCAAGAATAAGGGGGAAAAGCCGTACCTGGGCTTCTGCAGCTTCGATGGTGTGGGAGAGATTTCCATTTTGTACGGGTTCCGAAGCATCACTGGGTGGTGTCATTTCAACCTCCGTGCTGGTGCTGTTTGGGAGCTCAATTTTTTCTGTGGTACAATGTAGACACACACAGAGAAAGCAAATGGAGTCAATGGGGGAAAGAGCCATGTTGGAAGGAACGTCCTGAAATGTTGGGTCAAAGAAGACAGTGGTCTCGGAGGGGTTAAGGCCCAGGGCTGGGGTGGTGCCAAATGGCAAAGGATTTTTACCATTCTTTCCAATACCTCTCAGCGTTTTCAGTCCTCCTCTCTTTAATAGCTCTCTGGCTCTCTCAGTCTGGCCTGATATCTTGAGTCCCCATTCAGCTCCCCTGGCACACATTCTCTATGCTAGGCAAAGTCACCAACATTTTTTCACCAAAACCATGCTCAATCTGTACACTAATATTACACTAAACCATGCTCAATCTGTACACTAATCCAAGAGGACCACACCTCTTGGATTTTTTTTTTTTTTTACATCAGGATCTTTTCTTTTATACAACACTCTGGAAAGGATATTTGTTGGCTAGGGGCCCAGGAGACTTGGGTCCAAGACTTTGCTCTGCCATTATCAGGCTGTCACTTCAGGCAAATCTCCTTTCTCTGGGTTTTAGGAACCTTATCTGTGAAATGAGGGGGTTTAACTGGTTGACCTTAAGGCCCACTGCTTCCAGCTCTAATTCTCTAGGTGTGTTGCATGCACAAGCCTGCCAATGTCTGGGTGGTGGGGGCAGGCTCAAGAGCCTGGCCTTCTCAAAATGCCTGGAGAATGCTATTCAGCACATTCTACACCGGGGCATCCTATGGCAAATAAGGCGAGGGGAAGCTGAACAGGTAACAGAGGGAAACGTCTGTCATTCCTAAGTGCGAGATAACATCTGCCTAGCATGAAGCCACAGGTCAGCAGGTACAAATTCCAGTTTTCCTCTGGGAGTTAGAAGTGCCTCCAGGGTCATGGTGAAGCACTGGGACTCTCTGACACTGGGCATCCCAGATGGGCCTGGGCTCATACTCTGGTTCTACTGCTTATGCTGTGGGATGCCTAGTAAGTAATTTAACTTCTCTGAGATTTAGCTTCCTTGTCTGTGAAAATGGGGTGATGTGCTAATACCGTTAACAACGATACAATCAAAGGGTATGCCTGTAAAAATTAAATAAGAACCTGCATATAAAGCACCTGGCACAGAGCTGGGACAGAGCAAGCAAGCAACAAACTATTCTGATCATTATTATAGTCACTGCCTGGCACTAGATGATTTCTTTTGGGGGCTCAGAGGAGCACCTCATGTGATCAGTGATCAGCACCACCAAGGTCTGCCATGACTTCAGTGGGAGTGAAATAGAAAGGTGCTTAGGCCTTCTGTCTGTGCTGGGACCCCGTCACTCAGTTCAGGAGTGACCAAGTGAACCGTCTGGAAACTTAGTGCGTGTGGCATGGGCCATGTCCCAATCTTCTTGGATTTCAGGAGACAATGAAGCCTTGGGGGTCTGTGTCGGGCTTGCCGGGAGCATCGTCATGCTCCTCGGTCTCAGATACAAGCAGTATCGGGCCACTCATAGAGTGTCAGAATGTTTGTTTCTAGTAACTTCCGAAGGACGACACATTTTTATCAGTGGAAAATATTTTGAGAGTTACATAAAAATGACTGGGCTTGAGGTGGCCACATTTTGGAAATCACAGGGAAGTGTTTCTGTTGACTCATGTATTTAGTGGTGGGATACAGATGCATAAGTATATTTAAATACAAAAAGCCACAGAAGCTCAAATGTATTTTATCTTTCCATGTTTTTAATAGTAGCAGTGTTATGTATGTGGTGTTTTGCTGTATGTGGCTGCACCAACTGATCCTAATATGCTTGGTCCAGTCATGAAAAATACCAAACACCAAGTACCTGGGGAAATATTAAAACTGGGTTTTGGGGTGTCTACTGGCTGAAGTGAGACAACATTGAGATCAGCCCACGATGGCCAAACCTGACCCTACCAACATGGGACGATCAGGTCCCAAAGTGGAATTAAGATGTTCGAGAACAGACGTGAACTGATGAGAAGAAACAGCTCCTGCACACAATATTTAACATATCAGCTTATTCCCCTCAGGTTTTTCTTTTCATACCCAATAGAATCTTGACTGTTCCTTGGCCAAAGGTTGTCCGGGAGCCAGAAGTCAGGCAAACAGGAGAGGCAGAAACTCTCCTAAGGAGTGTCCTGTATTTTGAGTGCAACACTGTTGCATTTTGTCTGCAGATCATTGCAGTTTCTTGGGCAACAGCACTGTTTGTAGCAGAGATCCAGATTAGGTTAAATTTAGTCTGAATTTAGAATTAGTAGGTTATATTATAGTTGCAGACAGGAGAGGAGGAACATCATGTTCCTAGTTAAAATAAGATGTCTGAATGTCACGATCTGGTTCACGCGGGAACTCAGAAAAAGTCAGCCCAAAGAGACCTGGGCTGCAATTGCTGAATTCTTGAGAAAGGAGAGGTGGTGTCACCTCGCAAGGACCCCGTCACTCAGTTCAGGAGTGACCAAGTGAACCGTCTGGTAACTTAGTGGGTGTGGCATGAGCCATGTCCCAAGTATAGCGTGTCAGTATCTGGTTACCAGGCAAGAATCTCAGAAAGGATACTCTCACATTTTGTTAAACATTAAAAAAGACAGGTGTATGTGTGGGTCGTCCTTCTGTGGAATTCCTGAAATGAAATGATTTTCTACTCTTCAAGGGAAATGCCTGGTTAGAAGCTGGTTTTACTTTAGGTTCCTCAGAGAATCATTTTACTTTTCTTGGAGTTCCCCTAGAGTAGGTGACATAGTGTATCCATTTATGCCCTGTGCCCCCCAGGGAAAATGGGCTCTTGCGGACACCCAGGAACGGGCTGAGCCACAGGGCTGCGGGTCTGCACCCAGTCAAGGGGCCCACGCTGGGTCCTGCCTCCCCGCGCCCCTCCGTGCGCTCCAGGAAAGGCACGGGGTGCAAGTTTCTCTGCACTCACCCACGTGATTGGCAGCCCCGTTCTGCCTCTCGTTCTCATCCACCTGGCATTTCTTCTTGGCGATCTTGTGGAGAATAGAAGCCTTTTCTCTGAACCTCCCTGAAGCAAGAGAAAGCAGTGGAAAACGAGACACAATGAGGAGGAAGATAAAGAGAGGGGCTCGCGGAAAATGGCGAAGCACTGGCCCAACAGGCACGTGGCTTGCACAACTTTCTGCTCAACCCAAACACCCTGTGCCCGGCATGAGGGGTACGTTCTTACCTTTCTGGATTCTTTAGCCCAAATCTCTGTTGAGAATCTCAAGCCACCAGACCACAGATGAAAGGTTTGCCTTGGACCTCCTCCCTCCCTCCCGCTTGTTTACAAAATAAAGGAAGGCACCAGTCATCACTAAACCCCCCTCTCCTGCTGAGATCCAAAACAGGTCTAAAGACATGGAGCTGCTCTGGAGACAGCCATTTCTCTGGAATTAAATGTCCATCCCAGAACTGGCTTTCGACCATGGAAAGCCAAGCCCAGGGAGGGGTCCTTTGAGTTGACTTTGGTTTCCAAACATCTATCTTAATCAACACTGAAGTTTCTAAACGAGCTGGGAGGATGCATCCCAGCTCTCCAAATTAGCTGAGTCAGCAGCAATTAAAGCATCAAGGAGGCATCTGCTTCCACCTGGGGATTTAGGGCAAAGAACGATCAACTGAGCACAGCAAGTGAAGTCTGTCGGTGATGAGCCACTTACGGGAAGATGCTGGAAAAATACTCCAAATTCTCAAAATCATCATTTCAAACAGCTATACCACAAGTAAGACGCTTAATTTCTTCTCCATTATTGACATAATTAATGGTTAAATGCATGCAACAAGCACAGGAAAATAAAAAGCATGCAAAAATGTAGGAATTAGTGAAACAGCCCATTTTGCTTTCTTTTTTAATCCTTGATCCCCTCTGCACCTCCCCCCCCCCCCCCCCCCCCCCCCCCCCCCCCCCCCCGCTCAGGAACATTCAAGGTACAAAGGAGTCTCATTTTAAATGGACTGGTTCTTGGCTAGATTCAGATAGGATGAGCCCTTCAGTGCACCACAAGCTCTACAGTGTTCTCAGTAGGGATTTGTGTTGGCTGGATTCTCTAGCCCCGTACTAATGTGGGAGCTCATTTTACCTTTCTAGTTAGACCCAAATGGAACCAAACCAAACCAAAACCCAAACGTTTCTCTTGGAGGGTCTCTTTTCTTAGGATGGGACATGGTAGGTTGACATCGACTTAGCTCCCCCTCCTCACGGATGGAAGTCATGGGGTGTGGTCATAGCAGTGACTTGCGTGACAGGGTGAGGGGACAGAAGCTGGAAGCTAGAGTGGGATCAGCTGATTCCAATGGTGAAGGTGACCCCAGATGGAGCCCTTTCTGTTTCCCAGCTCCATCAGTCGTAAGCCCAGACACCTGGCTACCACAAAGGCGGCCTCTAGGACGGGAATGCCTCGGTGTAGGCGATGAACGTGCACCAGAGCTCACACTCTCGAAGGAAACAGGCAAGGAAATGTAACACAGAGCAAAGTAGGCTGGCATGGGGCTTGGGCTTCATGAGGAATGAGGAAGAAGGATGAGGTGACAGGCGCGATGTCCATCTCTGAGGGAGCTTGAACATCAGCGTTAGGGTCACCATGCTGAAAGGTATTTTGAATTCAGCTGTTTTTATTTAATTTCTGAGGGAAACTGGGAAGAAAGGGGGAAAGAAAGGAAAGCCTGGGGATTAGGAGGAGGAGGAGGTGAAAAGGAATAAGAAAGGCCAGAAAATGAAGAGAAAAAGAAGGAGTTCAAGGAAGGAGGAGGGAAGGAGGGGGTTGTGACTGCTTGCAGTTGGCAGCGTGGGTGCCAACCTCTCTCCAGGCTGCCGAAACTAGTCTTATCTGCTTCTCCATACTCTGCAGCCATAAGCCCGAAGAGGTGTACTTCTTGTGGGAGACACTTCCAAGAGGTCCTCACATCGTTTGCTAAAAAGCCCAGAAGACGGAGAAAGAAGTTCTGAAACATAGAAGATGGTGCTTCTACCAATAAAATGCTTCAGTGGTCTCAGGGTCACTGTTTGAACTTAGAACCTTCTAAAGCTCTGTGAAGTGAAGATGGGCAATAATTGCCATTTAACAATTACATAAAAATGATAATAAAGCAGGAAAGCATTCAGAAGACGAGACAAATAAACCTGTGGAAACAACCTGAAGTAACCCAATCTAAGGAATGCCCCAAAGTCCGGAATCACGGCAGAGAAAATATTTGACAGGAAACCGCTGATCGCCTACCGTGTGCGGTTACAGAAGTATTTTCAGGGCTTAGATGTAGACCAGAGGGAAATGATGAGGAAAGGTACCCCAAAGCATGGAAGGGTCCTGCCACTCATGGGCTGGCTTTCCCAAATCCTCTAAAGGCAGGCTGGGAGCATAGGGTAGGAAATGATTCTAGACTTGGGATTTTGTAGGTTCTCAAACCTTTTCACAAGTCAGCAAGGACTTTCTAGATAGCGTGTCCCTACTTTTCCCACAGCAGCAACACTTGAGATTTTCTAGGCGGCTGAAAGGTGGGAGGGGTTGGCTCTCTTTGTTTTCTCTCAGCCTTTAGCCCTAGGGGCAGCCAGGCAATGCTGGGAGGCTGACTGAGACCTCTCCTTTCTACACACTTCTTCAACTTCTTTAATTCAACCTTTGTCCCAGTTAGCATGACCTGATTACCATTCTGCATTCCTCCGCAGCCTAAAAGGATTTTTCTCTTAAAGATGAGTTTCTAGAAAAGCAGCAGTTGAAATGCCACCTTCAGAATTCAGCACTCAGGTGTGCTCCTCGAGGGTGGTGGGGCAGAGCCTGACAAAGTAAGGCAGCTCCTTTCAGCCCAATGGACACCCCAGGGACCACCACAGGGCGCCTCCTGAGCAGGGTCGTGAGGATGGCTGAGCAGACAAGAGTAGGCATGAGGTCCCCGGGGCAGAAGCCAGCACAGAACCTGTGATTCTCAAAGTGACCCTCTCTGTGCCTCGGGGTAGGAAGGAAAGGCATCTTCAGGACCTATGCAGCCTGATGCCACAACCTGGGGAGAACACCAAGTAGGCTGTATGTGTGTTGGGGACAGCACAGTATTGTTAAATTTTGGACATGACTTAAGGCAGGTAGATCTGGGTTGAAGCCCTATCTCTTTCAATGACCACTGGGCGAGTTTTGGTTAAGTTCCTGAATATTCCTGAGCTTCAGTTTTGCCATCTGTTTAACAAGGATTCCAATGGCATTGGCTCATGAGTTAGACGCAAGGCTTAAGTGAGAAAATGTGTGCAAGGGGCTTATCACAACACCTGGCATTGGAAGAAGTCTGTAAATAAGAGGAAAAAGAAAAACAAACGAAAACCACAGGGGCAAGGGTGACATGACCCCGAGTTGCCTTAGGAGAATTGTTGGCATCTTCTCTTCTCTCAATGCAAACATGCAAGCCTGGAGAATTAGCTACACCCCGACCCAGCGGTTTAAGCCTAGTGGGACCAGTGTTCAGGTTTCAGTGAGTCCTCCGAAGTCAGTGCCAAAACGGATTAGGAAAAGGATCACTTTGCATCTTCCTGAAATTGAGAAGTCAAGGCGATAGAGCTGCCATTCTGTGTTTTAAACATTGATATCTTTGTGATCTGAAAATGGAGAGATGGTGATCAGCTTTTCCCCATCACCTGGGAGGACAGAGTTCAGGCAAGGAATTACTGCTGCACCATGATCTGTGGGCTCCAAAGAACTTCCTGATGTACGAGGGGTTTTAACTCCTCTGTGTCTCAGGCTCAGAATTTTAAAACGGGGATCATACACCCTTCTCATACAGCTGTTGGAAGGCTCAATGGGTTAATAGACATCAGGTTAATAATACACATGGCCTCTGACATACATTAAGTGCTCAGGATGTCCTTCCCATGAAGTGTTGAAAGTAAAAAGATTGATATTCACAACAGGATTAATGTTTAGCCGCCTCAGGTGGGGGAGACCGTGGCAGAAAAGGGGCTGCTTCCATAAACTATTTTAGGCATGGACTCCACATTGGCATTAAGGGCTGACACAGAGGGGCAGATTTCAGAAATGACTGTAGCTCTGTGCCTGGGATGAAGGATGAAGACATTTTTGGGTACTTTTCAAAGTGAGGGAAGGAGTGATTTTTAACATGTTTTAAGGCAACCTTAAAAAAATATACTCTGTTGTGGTGCGAAGCCTTAAAGTGTTGTATTTTTACATAGCGACAGATATTTGTATACTTAAAATCTCGGAAATAGCAAACTCTGCTCAAATCGTGAGGCACCTACGTCAAAACCTAGTACACAGTTTTAATATAGTTTAGCTTGTTCTGAAATTTGCAAAAGAATACCAGCTGAGTGTCCTCAGGGGAGCGTGTGTTGAGGGGGTGGTAGGGAAGAGCAGAATGAAAGATCAAAGCGTAAGGACCTAATGTGTCTAAGAACAAATTTCGAGAAACAATCAGGAATCAAAATCCTTGACCCTATCACCCAGACATAAAAGAGAAGCCCCAAGCTGCACAGCAAAATAACCTTCAGGGGGTCTGTTCACACAAAGGGCAATGAATTTTGTTTCTGTTCTGCTGTTAATTAATTAAACCAGTCCCTGGAAATTCCTTCACCTCTTTCCCACCAAGCCTGTAACAGGCAAGTGTTACAAAGGAATTCTTTGGGTTGGTGATCAGATTAACTCCTAGCTGCTGCAGAACATTCTGAGCCTCAGCAATGCAGAAAAGGGACAAAAGAGATACATAGATGCAAAGGGGAGCACACCTCAGTGAACAGACCTTGGTTTGGGAGAAGAAAAGAAAAAATGAAACAGAAGGGAAAACTTGAACATAGTGCTTTTACATCTATTTTTGTGTTTTCAGTTCTGCCTTTCCCATCTCTGTCTTTGAAGTTTAGGATTTGGCAGGTAGCTTAGAAAGCAGAAGTGCAGCTGGATGTTCCTCTTGTTTATTCATTGCCTTTTTTTTTTTTTCTGGAAGCAGAGACTCAAGTTAGAGGCCATCATCACTGAGAAGGCATGCAATGAAACTGATGTGGCCATAAGCAAACACTGCCCTTGGGGTCAGCTT